TTACCTCTGCTACTGTATTTACAGCAACATTGCTTGCCAACAGGCTAACACTATAGATGTGCTTGGTCATACAACGTAGCTGTCACATTTTTGCAAGAAAGCAAATTTGCTGCTTAAACTGGCAGCCCTTTCTTGAAGAGATTTGTTTTGATTTCAAGATGGAAATAATTGCAATTTTCAATCCCATGGTTTTGATCTGTCAAAGTGAATTATTGGCTGTCCTGCTTTACTTAGGGAATACTCTCACAAAACTGCTGCTTCCTATTTCTTTTGAACTTTAGTCTTCAGTGCTCTCACATGGCAGAAAAACACCCCATCAAGCAAAAGAAACAATCCTGCCACAAGGAATTGACCTGAAGAATAAATAACTGTAAGAAGGTTAACTGACCAAATCTAAAGCAGGCTTGCTTAATGAGTAAGCAAGCAGGGAAATAAAAGTCCTTTTTTTTTCTTTTTTTATTAACTCCAAACAAAATTCTAAATAACTAAATCAGAAAATAACAAAATCCGAAAAAGGATGAAACAAAATGTGCCACTTTTTTTTTGAGATTGCTTGATTTCAAGTTGCAAGACTCACAATAGCATTTGCTTTTGAAAAAAAAAAACCATCATTTTTCACTAGAAGCAAATTAATCAAGAAATGGTTAACCAGCTTTCATAAGATGAGTAGCGTGTGAGTAGCATACATTGAAATAAAGTTACAAAAGACATAACTTACAGGGAAAAATACAGCAAAGGGTATCTCGAGGAAATAAGTGTAATACTAAATTGAGCAAAGAGCAAAACATGAGATGTAGTTCACAGAAAATCTGAGCTAGCTCCAGTTAAGCTTGACTTAGGATGCAGAAACTGTTTGCCATATTAGCTAGTGAGCTACACTAGCATTAATTGCTAAAATAATCTGAGGCATTCTCCTTCCAGATCTTGAGCTGGATTGAGAGCTTGTAAGCACTGTTTTGCAGAAGCATGTGTAAATAGCCTAAGTGAAATAATAATGAGAAGGGGGAAATAAAGTGCAGAGCATAGATTTGGCTACAATTCAGTATTTCTGTGATTTAGTTATTTATTTATTTATTACATAGTTTTAAAGAAATTGTGAAGGAATGAAAAGAGAGTAGATCATAGAATCATAAAATAGTTAGGATTGGAAAGGACCTTAAGATCATCTTGTTCCACCCCTCCTGCAATGGATTTATGACTGTCTACCAAGGGTAGGTTATATGCTCTCTACAAATTACTGTAGATTCTAAGAGGGAGAAAGGAGGAAATTCAAGTCAGCATGTTTAGTGCATTTATTCTAATTCAGGTTTATTGAATGGTTTTGAACTGTAAACAAGTTTGCATTTTAGATCCTATGTAAAATAAATCCCTTTCTAGTGCCAATATAAACATGTATTTTCCCTTTGCCTTCAATCAGCTGTAGTTTATGCATTAACGGGGACTTTTTGCTAGAAGCTTTTGTTCTTTCAGAGAGCCACTCCTCCAGGATTTAGGCTCCCTGGTTGGCCACTGTATCCTAGCTCTTCTGATAAAACAGCAGATGGATCACAACAGCAGCCAAAGTTAATAACCTGCTGAACCAGGCACAGGAAGGATAGTAGCAATTACACAGAAAACATTTTCATTGAAGCAGTATTTCTCCTTTGATACTTTAAAAATGAAAATTGATATTCATAGCCACATTCTACCTAAGGAATGGCCTGACCTAGAAAAGGTAATAAGAGTTTAGATATTCAGTGCCTTATGTTATCAGCAACCATTTCTACTAATGTAATTTTGAAAGAGCAGTGCATGAAGGGTTCTGTTATAAATATCTCTAGGCTTTTGTCTAATTTGAATTTTTTTTTCTTTTTTTGGATGTAAGATATTTGTATTGCTTTACTTTGCAAAGCAAGAGTCCCGCTAAGAAAGGGATGAAAAACTGGTCTCTCTTCTCCACTCTTTGTTTAGTATGAAGCAATTCTTATATTTTAGCTTGGGCTTTTTTGTGAGACTTAAAATTGCCAAATAATCATGTGTAAGTTCAACTTTCTTGATAAAACCAGAGCTTTCAGGTTCCCAAATGGTATTTCCTTTTGGTTTAAATAAGAGAAATAAGCAACTATTAGACAAGATTAATGTTATCTAAGACAAAAGTCATTCACATCTTATAACCACAGGCATGAAGGTCATTAACTTCAGTACAACTGGGGTCACTATAAGTACAGTTAATTGATGATGATGATAGTTTCATTCATATTGGGGGGGGGGGGTCAGTTACTGGAAAAAAAGTAGTATATTGTATTAAAAATACAAAATATCAAGTGTTAGAACATTGAAGCTATAAGTCAACTTGAATTTATTTAGAATCTTTGCATGTTGTTGTTGTTGTTACTATTGTTATTGTTATTATTCTTAATATTATTCAATGAAAAAAATCATTCTTGTCAGTAATAATTTTCATCATCCTATGAAAATTATTTAAGAATGAAAAGTGAAACTATAATAGATATAGTTTATAAACAAAAAATAAAATTATTTTCAATTGAACTTTGCATTCGGGTTTCCAGGATAGGTATGTTTTGTAACTCTTTAATGCTTCCATTCATGGTAAAAAATCAGAGTAGCAAAGACTTTCATTGCTGCTTCTTTCCTTATTGTAATTCTGTGCTGGCTGTAGTTTGAATGAACATTCCATGTATCTGACAGTAGCATGGATCCATTGGCTTTAATTGTGCCTCTCTTTGACAACAAAAGAATGCCATTATTTCAGCCATGTGCTTAGGCACCTGAGACAGTAACTGAAACTGGTTTATCCTGTACATTTCTCTCAATTATTTTGAGGTTGATGATGGCAAAATCTCAGTAAGTGTTTCATATGTATTACCTCTGTGTTTCTGTGATTTTAAACATGACAGCCCAGTGTCAGTTCAATATTAGCCAGAGAGCAGCTGGAAAATGTAAACAGCATGTTAAAAAAAAACGTCATGAGAAAACCTGGCATTAAAAGCATACATAGGATCATTTCTTCATTAGTAGTGAAAAATAACATCATTATTCATAAAACCTCCTGGAAAGGAATGTTTGTTTCTCCATTTACCAACAAAGGTATTTTTAAACACCTATTTGAACTTCCTATTTGCAATAATAAGAGCTCCTCAATGAAAAACAAATACAGGCTGGATAATGTAGGTGAGATGACAGATATTTTTTAGAACAATTATGTCTGGTTTAAATGGGTAGGAATTTAAATATCCAGACTACAAAGACAGGTTACTCTTGCTTGTTTCAGATTTTGCTGTCCTTGTTTGTGCAATATCCATATAAAACTGCCTATAAAATTCCTTCATTCTGATTTTATATGATTTAAAGATATTATGTTTTTCTGCATGTACTCTAAAAGGGCAATAAATTCACTGAGATAAAATCATCACAAGAATCTCATGACATTCACAGATGTACATCAAGACTGAATTTGCTGTTGCTAGTAATGTTGCATTTATTTAAACACTGACAAAAAGGCAAACAACCAGATTTTTAGAACTTAATTCCCACCTGCTAGTTTTTGTTTCCTCTGCTGTAAAGATTGAGTGATTCAATGGTTTATTAATGGGCCCAGAATAGAAAACAACTCTCAGAATTCCCTAGAGTCCTCTAAAAAGTCAAGGCATTAATGTAGCTTTCTGCATCTCACGCATGGAAAAACAATGAGGCAATCCCAACATGCACAGTAAACTTTTCTTTTTTCTTTTTTTTTCCCCAGCCTTATAAATACTGAACCCTGAATTTAGATAATTCTATTGTCAAGATACTTACTTAAGAGCTTAGGAAACCATAGGTATGACATTTCATAGAAATAAATGAAATAAGGAATACATCCAACTAGGAACTGAGGGGAAGAAAGAAGAAAATAAGTTCAAAAACAGAGCAGTGAGGTTTTTTACTGCCTAAATGCTCCTTTAACACCTTTAAAGTACTTGTTTTCTGCACAGCTTGCAATTGCAATTAGCATGGAGCTAGGGAAAACAAAGTTCTCATCAGGTGTCACTCACAAAACTTTCCATAAATTTAAACATTTCTTATATATACATATAAACCTAGAAATCCATGAATTTAAATAAAACACACAGAGCTACATATCTAAATAGTACGCAGCCTCAGTCATTATCATCCCTGATTGGTTGAAGCTAGGAGGCTTGGCTCTGCATGCTCACATTAGGAAAGCTCACAGTGGCATTACATCATGATTTGTTACCACAGGAAATTCAGGACTGTATTCAAATTGTTTAGACGTCAGTGAAAGAAATGCATGCTTTTACGTAGTTCCCATTGAAATGTTTCTTTACAGAAAAATGGGAATTCTGAACACTGTTTTCAGTCTATTATGGTATTTCAAGATTTCATTTCTTTCAAGTCTGATAATTTATGAAAGTAAAAGAAAATTGTACCTTTTGCAGGTTTTGGTGTTGGGATTCTTTTGTGTAATCAATTTTGAATCTCTCTGGAAGAATCGATGAGCGTCTAAGCTTCTCCCTTTTAGCTTCTCTTGGCTGTTTAAATATTAATAGCCAAGAGTCTGACCTTGATTCCTACTGCTGAATCATGGAAGCTGAAAAGTGGAATCAATACAATTTTGTGCTAATGATTAACTGATCCCAGATTGGAAAATTGTCAGCTCAATTTTCATATTGGCAACTACTTGATTTAATTTTTTCTGTGTCAAAAACATGCATTAGAACCTCAATATAGTAACTTTAACCATTTTGAAATCAGTTGTAAGACTTACTTTAAAATGCTGTTGAACTGGGAGCTGAAAGTTCAGCTCTACAAATACCATTGGTCCAACCCAGTTAAACTTCAGGACTTACACTGAAGTCTGGGGCTAATCATAGGCTGAAAGCTGAGCATATGTGAAAATGTTTCTCCTGAATGAGGTACTGCTGGATCGTAAGAACTGAGATTTTTATTATCATTATTGCAGACTGCTAACTAGCACTGGCTTTTTCTTCTTTCTTTTACAGAGATACGGGTATGGTGGATGGGTACAGCTGGATCATCACTGCAAGGTTTGGACTGTTTGGTGCTCTAAGATGATCTTAGAATATCTAAACTGATCCTGGAAAATCTAAGCTGAACATCAGGAATACATGCTCACAGTAAATCTATTAAAAAGCATAGTGACAGCAAGATGAGCTATGTCTGATACAGATACCCTAAAGGTCTATCTTCTATGAATTAATATCACTCCAAGTCCTAATATGCCTCAGCAGAACTTTTTGCTTGAGAGCTGAAACTCACATTCTCTTGTATGAACCAGTATTCATTTTTCATCATCATCTCATCATGGATAGCTCTTCAGTAAGATAGGTCAGCCAGTCTAAAGTAATGTAGTCTTCTGTATGAGAAGCAAAACCAAAAGGAACTGGTATTTCAATAGAAGTTAAAGACGATAACATGTCTGCGTCTCAGTGCAAAAGGAAGAGTAATTTCTGTAACTTCATGATGAGGAGAGCAGGTAGCAGAAGAGTAAGGACAATGCATAGATTTTGGGACCATTATGTATAAAAGTAGGAATGTGAGGTTTATTGGCAAGTAAAAGGCATGCTGGGTCTGATTTTACTTCCCTTTTTATCACCATCCACTCTTAACTTTGCAAAGGCACATCTGAGCTACATTAGTACAACTGGAACAACATGCCTCCATGTACCATGAGTCTGTGATAACATTCAGAACCCATCTTGCTGGTTTTGAAGTTAGCAAAATACATGGATTTACTGAATGCAGACAGAACTGGTTTCTTAAAGGCTTGATTCTGACCTCACTCAGAGTAGACCAAATCGGCAGTCATTTTAGTGACACAGTGACACAAAAATGTAAAACTTCTGAAAGCAAGATCAAAACGTTGCAGTTTATCGTTTGGTAAGAGCATTTAAAAAATAGCAGTATTACTGCTTTTTTAGAGAAGGGCACAAGGACCTAAAAGAGTAAGGGCTGGTATGGCAAAATAATCCCCTTTGTACATTACTATGTATGTTAACTGTACCTGTTTATGTACGTTAACTGACTGTTTTAAAGATGTTGCCTCTGTTACCACAGAATCATGGTATGGTTTGGGTTGCAAGGGACCTTAAAGATCATCTAGTTCCAACCTCCTGCCATGGGGAGGGACACCTTCCACTAGACCAGGTTGCTCAAAGGCCCTTCCAACCTGGCCTTGAAAAATTCCAAGGATGGCACAGCCACAGCTTCTCTGGGCAACACATTCCAGCGTCTCACCACCCTCACAGTGAAGAATTTCTTCCTAGTATCTTGTCTAAATTTACCCTTTTCCAATTTAAAGCCATTCCCCCTTGTCCTATCACTACATGCCCTTGTCAAAAGTCCCTCTCCAGATTTCTTCATCCCCTTTAGGTATTGGGAGGCTGCTCTAAGGTCTCTCCTGAGCCTTCTCTTCTCCAGGCCTGGCTCTCTCAGGCTGTCTTCATAGGAGAGGTGCTCCAACCCTCTGATCAACTTGATGGCCCTCCTCTGAACTCACTCCAACAGGCCTACATCCTTATCATATTGGGGCCTCAGAGCTGAACACAGTACTGCAGGTCTCACCAGAGTGGAGTAGATAATATAATAATTTCAATATGTCAGTCATATATCCCTGTCTGTCTCAACACATCAAGCCAGCTTTCTCCTGACACTTGTCAGCTCCCCGCTTCTAGGACTCTTTTAGAGAGCATGTCACTGCAAATAGCACTGGCTTCAGGAGAGGGAAATATGGCATTAAAAAGAGGTCTCAAGAGACCTCACTTCACTTTCCATCTCACTTCTTATGTACCTGTTCTAACTTGAAAATTTTCATCTCTAATTGCCAATTGTGAGTTGTACAGATACAGAAGGGATAAAAGAAATGTGAGGCATTAGCCAGATAACTAAGGAAAAAATAAGAAGCCAAGAGGACTTGTGTAGATAAAAGCAGAAAGAACAATGTGCATGTAGTAAGCTGAAAGACAAAAGACGCAAAACTGAGAGCATGAATAGCTCAGTACAGAGAGTGAGCTCATAACCCACCTAATGCATGTGAAGAGTGCAAATAACTGTCTAAACTCAGCCATGTTATACAATGGCAGGCTATATGCAGGGGTTAATCTGTGTCTGTCTTCTGAAATTCGGACATGATATCAATGTAGGAATTCTGTACTGGAAACTAGAAGGATAAGTGATAAAAAGATTTAGTGCTTAATGTATTCAGGATGGCAGTGCCTCTCCCTATTTGGGTAACCTTATAAAAAAATAGTACCTGGTCTTCCTTATTGCTTGATATTTTTGTGTATGATTTGGCCAATGTGTTCATTCTCTGTAGCGATTCAACACTTTATTTGTCTTTAAAAAGCAAGATTTGCATCTTCCAGGTAATCAGAGTATTTAAATATATAATGCCTGTTAATTTCAGTGTGTCTAGACATTCCCTCATCCTTTTGCTACTTCACAAAATCATACTTCTCTGTGATTGCGTATATGCTTATATTAACTGGAAAAAGCTGATAAAATGGATACAAAACCGTGTCTGTTTATTGCAATCTAGTGATATACACACTTGTCATTATATAACATTCAAGGCTGTCCTGTCAAATGCCTGACAACCATTTATGAAAAAGGATAACAGAATATGAAGGTTGGGAACAAAAATGAGAAGCAAAGAAATATTTGCTGAAATTTCAGATCTAAGCATAAGCAAGCCTAGGAGGGGAGAACAAGCCACCTGCTGAGCCGAAGTGTGGATGGCACAGTTTCTGAGATACATGGTAGGTGCAGGAAGGAGAGAACTGTTGGAGACACTTTTAGTAGCTTAGCTGTTTTTTACAGGTCTGATGCTAAAATTTCTTGCTAAAAATAGCTTGCAAAGGAGCCTTGTGGCAAGTCAGTAATAGCCTTATGCACTCTGCAGAGAATTCTGTCTAGCCTACTTCTGTCTGAAAATGTTGCAAGAAAAAAGTGCATGGCAAAATAAAATCCTGTTCAGATATGGAGCTGGGGAAGTTAACTCTTCAGATTAAAAAGAACCCCAAAAGCTTCTCATATTGTTCTGTGAAGAAGCATCAGGGCCAAACTGGAAGAAAATAATTAAATGCATTTTTAAAGTACAATTTGGTATGTGACTGAGTAGTTTACTGATGGGATAATTTTAAATATAGTTTGCTGAACCAAATCAGCCTGCTGGACTTCATTCTTAAATATCTCTCTCTTAATTGCCACATAAATTAATTAAAGCCTCAAGTATCAGACAATGTTTGGAATGGAATGGAATAGAATGGAATGGAACGGAATGGAATAGCCTAGAAATACACTGACACAGAATAGCATAGAATAATAGGACTTCTTCAGCTGTGACCTTAGAAAATAGTGTTAACCTTGCAAATAGAAATCCCATGTCTTTTATGACAGTTTCAGTGCTGCATCCAAGAAAATTCTTTTCCTGATCTATGCTTCATTCTTACTAGTGCTAAAAGCCCTAAGAATTGTTTCCCAGTGGAGTAATATCTCTATTTAAAAATATCACATGCATATTAGTGGCAGTGTCTTATGGACCGTAGCAATATGACTCATTTTACAGTCACAGTGTTGCTGGACCAAGTCTTTATATCCTTACATAGACAAGCATGTATCTATTCAGATGATTATGTTTTGCTTTACTGCATAATCAAGTTTGTTGTTACCAACATACAATGCTGTGAGCTCAGCCTTGACCTGTAGTGTATTCACAAACAATCGGTTAACACAAATGAAAAGAGCCAACAGTTCAACTAGTTCTTCAGTAACAACAGCACATGGCTTTTTAGAAACCTTTCTTATATTGAAACCCTGTTGCAGGTTTATCTTGGCATTTAAGTAGCAGCACTGTCAAAGTTGCTAATAAAGTTACAATCTATCTAATTTTGCATTCAGTATTAGCAGAAGAAAAGTATGAGCCGGTAAGTTGCAATGCCTTACCTGTGCCTGAGGAAAGAAATAAGTTGCCTGTGTTCACAGATGCACTCCCAGTGGTAATTCAGTAAAATTCACACAATCTATTCATATGTGATGCAATGCTCCGTTCTACTCTTTACTCACACCAAAATATTTTTCTATTAGGCAATTTGCATCAATACACTGATTTTTTTTTTAATGTAGTTAAAAAATGTTAGATTTATGGTTAAAGTATCTAGTTATGGTTAGAGTATCTAGTAGTTTACTCTCTCTCTCTATATATATATATATGTATAATGTAGTTTACTCTAACCATGCTAGGAGAGTATAGTTAGAGTAAACCTTTCTGTCAGGTTGGAAAATCAATTTTACCAGAACCCGAAGTATTCTACCAGAGAATTAGGACTATATAGTTGTTATTACCAACTCTAATATTTCACAACCTGTGATTCAGCTAACAATTAACTTGACAATTTGCCAAGGCAGCACCATTAGGTTTGTTGAAGAGAGCTTTAAAATATTCATTAAGGCAGTATATTTGTGAATGATGTATAAAGTTAATAACAAATTCAAGGTTAACAGCAGTCTGACTTCTCAGAAGGAGGGGACATAAACCCAGCTCTGAGAGAGATAGGGAAATTTTATTATTTATTTCTGGTTTAGCATACTAGTAGCAAATATTCTGATTTAACAGGTTTTTTATTTAAAAAAAAAAATAGTTAGGAACCTAAATAAACCAATTTTGTGAGGAAAAAATAGAATGGCCTTTGGAGAGAGAGAATTCCTTTTCCAGAAGGGTCAGAAGACTCCTGTGCACTTGGCTTCTGTTTACTGTGAAGGTGAAGGAATAGCTACTGTGTTTTCTCATGTGGTTTTCAATTTTCAGCTGCAGATGCAGTTGTGTTCTCTGTGCAATACATCTGCTGCATGACCATGCTTACTCATCCCAAATACACAGGGTCATTTCGACCTTCTGACTTCCATCCAGTTCCATTTATCCCTATACAAGCTTAAAGCAATCAAGAGATACACAGGCCTTGCAAGTACTGGTGAATTGTATCCCATCAATTTCTGTAAGTCTAGGCCAACAGAAGGGCTGTTTTGTCTGTTTTTACAAGTCCATAAAGGCATGTGGGTACCTACAACTGTAACAATTTACTTTGTTAATGTGATGATGCTGCCTACTCAACCTTTTTTTTGACAATTGGCAAATCAACAAGCAAACAAACAAACAAAAAAGTTTAAAAATGAAGTTTTCATGCCCATAGTTATAGGAACACTTTTAAATATCATAATCTTGGTAGAATTTTGAACTTTGTAAGTCTGGGAATTGGTGGTGTATGGAGATGGTATTACACTAACTCAGGTAATGGTTTTATACTGCATTTAGGTTTTGTTTGTATTTTTACAAATACATATTATTCAATAATTCTTCTTTTCTCAGGGAGAAAATATAATCTGAAGACAACATAATAGGTCTCCTTTAGTCTCAGTATTACTGGTAATATGAAACAACTGGACTGAAATGAACGAAGTTGCACAATTATTTCTGTAGTTACTGGAATCACTGTGAAGCTATTGACTTTAAAAGAACACACACATACCCAAAGGGAAAATTTAGCAAGGATTTAATTAGAGCATTATTTTGAGGTCAAAATTTGGTTGGAGGGTAAAGTTGGATGAAGGTACTGGATACCTTTTCCAAACAAATGTAGAATGACACACTTTGCAAAAGAAAGGAGGTTGTTTTATCATGAAGAATTAAATCTGAGTCACACATTTCTGTTTTATTAATAACTATTTTAAAATAGTATTTGATTAAAATTACCCACTGAATAAAAATAAAATAGCAAATTCTGTCACTGAATTTCTGTAGGGAGAACAATACCCTCAAGAGGCTATAAATTAGCATGTACTACTTTGTCACATTTATAATATATGAAAATGTCATTTCACAGGGACAGGCAAAGATGATGAAGGATGGAAAGGTTTTTAGAATTATTCAAGAGAACTGTTGGGATCCAGAAGTACGGATTAAAGAGATGAACGTATCAGGTACCTCCATAAAGGAATTGAAATAATTTTGTCTCATTTAGAATAACAGTGCATCTGAAAGTGCTCAATAAAAATATAAAAAATGAAAAAGTTTAGCAGACTGATTCATTCATAGAAGCATAGAATGGTTTGGGTTGGAAGGGACCTTAGAGATCATCAAGTTCCACCCCTCCCTACCTCATTTGCACAGTATTTCAAACTCCATCAGGAACTGTAGTGATAGGACAAGGGGTAATGGGTTTAAACTAAAACAGGGGATGTTCAGGTTAGATATAAGGAAGAAGTTCTTCACTGTGAGAGTAGTGAGGTACTGGAACAGGTTGCCCAAAGAAATGGTGAATGCTCCATCCGTGGAAATGTTCAAGGCCAAGTTGGACAGAGCCTAGGGCAACATGGTCTAGTGTGAGGCATCCCTGGGGCTGGAACTAGATGATCTTAAGGTCCTTTCCAACCCTAACCATTCTATGATTCTGTGATTTAATGGGAATGCTAGAATGTCTTTGCAACCTCTCTGAAGTAGGCTGCCTTGGCTAGATTGTAGTCATTCTCTGAGTTAGTTTAGGGATTTTGAGGATTACCGTGTCATTCAACCATAGTGTGGATCATAAATAGCCTTTGGGCATCCTTCCGTATAAGATATTTTCCTCAGCACTAATACCAAGTTTGTACAAAACAATTCTGCCCCATATACTTGCTGTAGACGAAAAGAAAACATGGAAGATTTTTGATGGTTTGGTTTTTTTTTCCAACAGCTCTACAGGAAAGAAAATGTAATACAAAGCCAACACTACAATATTTCTCCACAAACTAAACAGTTCTCATTTAGTCAAAAAAAATAAATAAAAATCTAAAAGTGTGTGTTACAGCACCATCTGGTGACCTGTGCCATAAAAATGTCCCCTTTTATTACGACACTCCAGAGATACAGACAACAGCCAATTAAGTGTCAAAAAAAGGTCTTAGTGTTTTTCATTCTTTCAGTTCGCCTAATGATACAGACTATGGGCCCTGTTTACTCTTTTTTGATTTAGAAAGCTGTAGGTACTTAATTCAAAGACCCTTTTCTGTAACACAGGCCAAGATAGATTATACCCCAAAATTTCGCCTCCCAACATAGCATAATTTTGGAACAAAGATGCAAAGAGCTGAACAAATTAGTATCAGTCACTGTAAGGTATTATTAACTCAGAGAGAGAATTTACAACTTGGTTGCTAAAAGGCTTTGTTTGTGAAAGCCTAAGAAATCTTGCCAGTAACAACAAATGGTAGCCAGCGTACCAAGGAGACTAAATTAGTTGTCACAATCATATGTCCTAGGTTTATTCGGTATACAAACCTGTGTCTTGCTCTACTCAATAAAATAAACTATCAACGTAACCAACATCACAGTTCTGTGACACAAATAATTACAGTTTTGTTGGAGAAAATCTTTCAGTTAATCCTAACTGCCTTTTCTTATTATTTTCTCCCTTGTAAAACCCTCTAAAGAGGGTATACAGAAGCTTTGCTGATTCTTCTTCTTCCTAAAGCTAGTCTCTAGGAATGTTCAGCTGGGAAATCTACCTTTAAGTTTTATGATAAATTTGCTCAGAAGTGTAAAAATGGATTGAAAACAGATACAATGTTTATTGTGGAAAACACGGTGAATGTTCTCAAACATACTAATTAAGTGTCCAGTAGCATGTTGGTGGATAATACAGCTTAGGCTCTACTTTGGTACATACGTAATTTTGTAGTCCCTATCCTTAACCCAAAACCATTGCTGCTGCACATAATACTAATGAGATCTTGTACCTCTTGTTTCCTACTTAAAATACTAAGAAGGAGGATAATAATTTTGTTAAACATTTGAGTGTTTTGGCAAGGTGATTATCTTAGAATTAGTTCTAGTTTTTTTTCTGGCATCTTTTGCATTAGTAGTTTCATTACATGTAACTATTTAGTGAAATCCTAATTATTGTTCATTGTTTCCTCTGTTGTTAATCTGCTGGATTTGTTGTGTTCCTTCCTGTAACCTGTCACACAAAAAGCTACGGTATAGATTAGTACCATGATGCTTAGTTAGCAAAAAAATATGCTATCCGTGTCACTGTTAAATTAATCTTTCTTACCATTACAGCTTTCACCTTCTGCATTTCAAATCAAAGTGCTTTATTATTTTCAACATTTTACCTAAAAAAAGAGGAAATATTAATAACTGGTTTTTTTCTTCCTCAGGAGTCACAGTCCAAGTCCTTTCCACAGTCCCTGTCATGTTCAGCTACTGGGTAGGCTCCTACTGGCATATTTTGTAATTTGCATGTGTAGCAAATTTAAAAAAAAATAAATGCTTCCTCCTATGAATTAGGTGATTGAAGCAGTCACTGGAGCACTGAAGTAGATGGGGAGTTGTTCTGTTGTGAAAAAAAGAAAAAACAAAAGAGAAAAAACCAATCCAGGTCGGAAAAGCCAGCAGAGTGTCCTGGTGAAACTCCACTCCTGAGGACACTCAGTAAGAAAGAACAAGACAAGAACAGAATTTCTTCTGGGGACCTTATTGGGGTAGTTGGAAACAGGGAGAGAGTTTACAGTATATGAATCCATGGTCAGCAGGTAGATGTGTATGTACAGATTCCATGAAAGCTAGACATTAATCAGCACTTTCTCATTAAAAAATGAAAGAAAGAAAAATACATATTCGTGGTCTTTTAAACGTGGCGTGGGACTCACTGACCTAGAAGAATGCTTTGAATATCAAAATTCAGTAGCAAATTTAAATCAGTGTGTTCCCTGCATGGTGATCTTGAATGCATCAAAGAAATAAAAGCAGTCTGAGAAGACAAATCATAGCAAAAAGTTTTTCTAAATGCATTCTAAATTTAACTATTTAGCTCTATGTACAAGTCAAGCTGTTATATGTAAACCGATACGCTACGTTAGAAATCATTGTGTTAAGCCCACATATAAGTAGTACCACTGATCTTCAGAATTTCTTTTTGAGTGACATATCTTTAAAATTTTATTCTGCTATGCATGGAAATATTTTCCATTAAATATGTATTAGGAGGGAAAATGGGAAACTGATTGTATGGATATTACATTTCCCTTATTCAAATTATGACTGTTATTTCCTTCTAAATGTTAGAGAGATTTGCTCGAGTTTTCTCCGTAGAATTCTCATGATCCAGCAGCTCACATTTCTTATTTTTATCTCTCCAACTCCAGTAATGAGAGTAAATATTTCATTGTTATGTTAAAAAAATATATGCTGAGGTTTTTGCATTAGGATAGAAGAGAACAGAGGACTGGTTTACACAGAAGACCAGATACTTGCGTGCATCAGCAACCTGGGCTTTATTACACTCATCCTGAGCAGTAGAGGCAACAGCAGTTGACAAAATATTCAAAACAAGAAGCAGAACTGCACCCAAAGTTTTTAAAATGAGGCAGAACTTAGCCTTACTGATTTCCAGCTATTCAGAACTGTAAAGTAAATTCTAGGTTCAAAACGTGTCTCTGAATTGTTTGCAGTGACATTTATCCAGTATCTTCTAAAGGTAATAGCATTTGAGAACTATATTTTTATGTACTGTTCTGCTTAATATCTTACCAGGCCAAACCTCAGGATACTTTAGATCTAGCCCAGATATTAAATAATGACTTAGCTGCTACAGTAAAAAAATACCCCAAGAGGTTTATCGGCTTGGGTACATTACCTTTGCAAGCTCCAGACCTGGCTGTGAAGGAAATGCATCGCTGTGTGAATGAACTTGGATTTCCTGGAGTACAAATAGGATCTCATGTCAATGAATGGGACCTGAATGCACCAGAACTCTATGATATTTATGCTGTGAGTATATGTTTCTTTCCTTATTCTTGGAATTCTGAGGTATGGAATTCTGTCTAAAAATACCTTGAGACTTATTTAGTCATCAACTACATTCATAGAGCCATTAAAACAACAGAGACTTCTAATCTGCTTAGTCATCAGAGACATGTAGTTTTAATAATATATGATAATTCATTATAGGATAATAAGGACAATAATACAATATAAAACATTCTGAAAACTGTTTATGATATGAGTTCTCACTGTATAGTTGCTTTCTTGACTTGTGAAGATGAGTAAAGTATCAAATAAAGTATTTCTGCACTGTGATCTTGGGTTGAAGTTACTGTATCCAGTCCTATTGACATAACTGATAAAAATCCCTGAGATTTTCAGAGGTACCTGTAGAACCGAAGAACCATACAGAATTATGCAAATAGACAAAAATTCCAAACTCAATGTATTGATTATAAAATGAACTTATAGATTGCATTTCTTAAATAGTACAGGTTATTATAGTTGTCGGCTTGAAACTGACCCATAGAGGTTATTTTTCAGAATGCTCAATTTATTCAAGAATTCTGTTAGCACAGCATCCAGGGTATATTTTTATGCTCATATTCAGTCAGTTAGCAACTTCTCCTCTTGGAGATGCACACATTCACAGAGTCACAGCAGGCTGAGGTTGGGAGGGGCCTCTGGAGGTCACCTGGCTCAACCCCCTGCTCAAGCAGGACCACCTGGAGCCAGACACCCAGAACCATGTCCAGATGGCTTTTGAATATCTCCATGGACAGAAGCTTCACAACCTCTCGGGGCAACCTGTGCCAGTGCTTGGTCACCCTCACAGTAAAAAAAGTGCTTCTGGATGTTCAGCAGGAACTTCCTGTGTCTCAGTTTGTGCCCATTGCCTCTGGTCCTGTCCCTGGGCACCACTGAAAGGAGCCTGGTTCTATCTTCTTTACAGTCTCCCTTCAGGTATTTATATACATTGATGAGATCCCTGCTGAACCTTCTCGGGGCTAAACAGTCCCAGCACTCTCAGCATTTTCTTACAGGAGAAATGCTCCAGTCCTTTCACCATCTTTGGACTCTCTCCAGTAACTCCATGTCTCTCTTGCAGACACTGAATCATAGAATGATAAAATACCAGGTTGGAATCAGGGATCACCTGGTCCAATTGGCAAAGCACAACCTAGACTAAATGTCTCAGCACCCTCTCCAGACTAATCTTAAGGTATCCAATGCTGGGGAATCCCACCACTTTAGTGGGGAGATTATTCCAGTGATTGATTCCTCTCCCTGGGAGTAACTTTTGTCCATTACCCCTTGTCTTTTCCATTTGACTCCTTGTAAAAAGGGAGTCTCAATCTTCTTTGTAGCCAGCCTTTAAATACCAGAACATGGTGATAAGGTCTTTCCCGAGCCTTCTTTTCTCTAGGCTGAACAAACTCAGTCTTTCCTCACATTGCAGGATTCCCCCCACTTTAATCATCTTTGTGGACTCCCTCTGAACCCTCTCCAGCCTGCCTATAGCTTTTTTGTATAGTAGGGACCTAAGCTTAACACAGGATTCCAGGTGTGGCTTGACAAGTGTTGAGTACAGTGGGATAATGACATCTTTATCTCTGCTGGTGATGCCCTTGGTGGTGCAATCCAGCATCCTGATATTCCTCTCTTATACTGGGATCTCTCTTTTATACTGTGCATTCTTCAGCTTATGTTTAACACATGTAGGAAGTAACCCCTACCACTTTTAGAAACATCACTGGACAAGAAAAATTGTGAAATTAAGCCGTATTTGATAATGAACATTATCAATCTACCAAGCCATTTATTGAATTGCTATTTTTACTTTACAAATGTAGATGGCAATTACTCCCTACAGTCCAAAAGCTGCAGCTTTATTTATGCATGTATGGGTAAATAAACCCAAATTTTTCAAAACTGTGATAATCTCCTTAGCAACAAGAGGGGGTCCAGAAATACGTCTCACAAAATGAAGATGTTAAATCCCAGTTAAGCATATGAATGACTCTGATGACTATTAAATATAAGCACATAGTTAAATTAGTCAGAATCAGCATCCTGTATTGTTCTGTTTTCCTTTGTAGCTTTGGAAAAATGTATATATTTGAGACAGATTATTGATCAGATTTCAAACTCTTAGGGGGGATTAGGAATAGTTTTAACTTTTCTTAAGCCAGGTAGAAAGCCTAAGGGGACAAATGTAGTGCAACTGCAATGAAAATTTGTGAATGCAGCTGGAACACTTCTGCAAAACCATCCTAAAATGGTTCTATAAAACATTACAAGAATTCATCCTCATACATTTAATGAAACCAAAAGAATGCTAGTATGAGCCAGCCAAGTTTTATGTTGCAAGATTGCTGACAAACACACCTAAAAAAGCATTTTTGTACCATATTAATCTGAGGAACAGTGGCTTACATTGCGGTTTAAACCCAGCAGCAACTAAGTACAGCCACTTTTTCACTTCCCTCCCTCCATGGAAAACCAAAATGTCCTTGATTTAGAGTAAGTACTACTTAGCAACAACTAGAACACTGGTGTGCTATCAGCATTATTCTCATACTAAATCCAAAACACAGCACTGTACCATCAACTAGGAAGAAAACACATCCCAACTGAAACCAGGACAGCTGATTTAAAAGGTATTGTCAGAGTTTCCAACCATGTAGTCTCAAAAAGAACTTTGAAACTGAGTGAGGACTTCAGGATATGGCCCAGAGGAGTAAATGTAACTAACTATTGCTTATCGTTCTTTTTCTGGGCCTATTTTCATTACTAGTACTCATGGTCGGTACAATTTTGCAGATAATCTTTAAAGCACGGCTAAGAACTAAGATGCATTTTGGTATGATTAGTAAAGGTTTAGGTTTCTTTTTGCTACAGGCTGCTGAACAATTAAACTGCTGTCTCTTTGTGCATCCCTGGGACATGCAGATAGACGGAAGGATGTCCAAATATTGGTTTCCCTGGCTAATAGGTGAGTGTATATTTACTTTGCTTAATCTACATTTATGAGCTGTCACTATATTATGCCCAGAAGATTGTTACAAAGGTACTAGTACAGAGAAAAACTACATTATTTTTCTATCAATCTTATATTTTTTTAAGTCAAGTACTGTAATTAAGTCTGTTGTGTAAATTCAGCAGTCATTTGTTTTTAAGCTTGTTTAGTTTGTCTAACTTTCAAATACCTAGAATTAAAATTATTCAGACTAGCAATAGAATCTAGTATTCTTTTTTGTCCTGCGTACAGGGAGCAGATGACTAAGGAAAACTGAATTTTCTCTGAAATGAGATCCTCAAAAATAACATGAGTAAATGAAGGAGTAGGCAAAACCAAACATTACTTCCTAGCATTTCTCGTATCATTTCACAGAAACAGGTTGATCAAAGAAGTTTACATCAACTCGAGCTGAAACAACGTGTACTTTGAAAGCTCCCCATGGATACAGGCAATTATCTAGTTCCTGATTTTTTTCCCCATCTACTAGGTAAATCAGAACATTGAATAACAGGAGGCAGGTTATAATGATATCTGGAAATGTTTAGATGTGATTCCATCCTCATTCTGTTTTGCATTGTTTTGTTTTGCATGATTTTGAACTGCATCCAGTAAAGGTGTTCTGAAAAACATACACAATATACATACAATATATGTTCTGCATTATGCACTGGAAAATCTTTGTGTCCCAAACACCAGTGCATTATCTTAAAACATACCACTTAGTCTTAATCAGAGCAGGCTCAACAACACAAAAAGACTCAAATTCTTGCATTTACTTAACGAAGTATAATTAAAATATTTTCCTACTAAGCCTAATAAGGCTTTGCATCTAAGCATATGGTAAAATATTTGTAGGTATTGTTTCCTCCATAAATGAGGGGAACTCATTTCCTAATTTCAAGCTGGATGTCTGAAGTTAGGCACCTAAACGGCATGATATTCTACATATGTTAGGTGCGCTCAGAAACCAAGGCCCTATGTAGGAACCCAAATTGCTGTTATGTTCCTAACACTGGGCACCCAAGTTACCTAATGGCAAAGAGAGAGGCTATTTCTAAACTGTAGGAACTGGCACTGTGTCATAACTAAACCTCAGATCTGTGTTGAAATATCCACCAACGTATCTGCCCTACTTTCCACACAAATGAAACTCAGAAACACAGGTGAGAGAACCTGGCTTATTCCAGACTTGTCTTTGAGCTAGGATAACTAAGTAATCAAGCCTGCAGTGTGCGTTTCAGGACAAACCCAATCTGCCTGCCAGCTGTCCTAGTGGTGTAAAGTAAAAAGTGGGCTTAGAATTCAGATCTTAGCTTCCAGTCCTGTGTCCTCATTTCAGTTAATTAATGTTCAGATCTGCATTCCTCTAATAGAAATAATGCATAACCTTTGGCAGCTGCTCTGTAACTATTATTTTTTCAGTAGACTCATGGATAATTGAAGAAAATTAACATTTCAAACTCAAATAGGAAAACAAAAAATAAAACTCTCATACAGTAAAGCTTTTTTTGTTCTTAGGCATGCCCACGGAAACAACCATAGCCATTTGCTCCATGCTTATGGGAGGAATTCTTGAAAAATTTCCTAAGCTGAAAGTTTGCTTTGCACACGGAGGTAAGTAATGCACCATGTGAAACCTGTAATTCAGTTGAGCATGATACAGTTGTATTTTCTGGCATGCCAGCTAGTGCTAACCGTAACATGCTAGGGTTACCACTTAAACCTGCAACCAGCTGAGTACTACTACCCCGAAGAAGATAATCTGCCATACAGGCTGCTTGTATGAACACTCTCTAGCCTGTTTCAGCCAGTGTTTGAACTGTTACAATAGTCTTTAAGGGAAGCAAGGAGGAAGAGGAGACAGGAAATGATTTGAGGAAAGGGACAAGAAAGCAGCAGAAGGCATTTAGGCATCACAGGAGTGAAGAAGTGAGGAAAACAGAAAGAAGCTAATGGAATGGAAAGACCTAAAAATCGCCGGTGTGGAGCACTTCCTTTCTAAATAGCTAACAGTAACATTTGATCTGTTGATAAAGTGGCTTTTTTCCCTCCTGCATATTTTCAGGTGCTTTACTAAAAAATTTCTTCTTGCAGGTGGAGCTTTTCCATACACAGTGGGGCGAATCTCCCACGGATTCAATATGCGCCCTGATTTGTGTGCACTTGATAATAAGGTGGATCCAAGAAAATACCTTGGTTCATTTTACACAGACTCCCTTGTCCATGACCATGGTGCACTAAGGCTGCTGACAAGTGTAATTGGAGAGGTGAGTTTTAATGCTTCCAGAAGCAGGAGAGTCATTCTTTATTTAATTTCCTATGAAACAGCGAAAGGAGAAGAGAAGAAGAAAGCAGGAAGAAGATAGCATATTCACCCAGTAAAATCAGAACCTGAGCTACTATAAACCAAGGGGCTTCTTCTATGTTTATAATGTTTTTAATATACAGAGTTATTAAAATGGTGTTTTTCATCAAGGAAATCATGCACTGTGAACCTTAGTTCAGTGAGGCTAGTTCCTTGTGCAAGGTCATTCAGGATGAGACTGCAAGTAAAGACTGCTTCATTTGGAGCCTTGTTTTCAAATGCCTTAATTTTGAAATTCAAGTGTATACTTGACGAAATCAAATTGTATTTCCACTTGCAAAGCTATAGACAGAAAAAAAAAAGTCAATAATAAGTTTTTTGTGAGGATTCTGGAAAGAACATTAAACATCATGGGGTTGAAAAAATATTTTAATTGTTAAAGAGTAAAGAAATCTTTGTAGTTTAGCAACCTGTTTAAATGGGATTCAGCATGGGACAGAAAAATCAAAAACATTTCAATACTTTCTTCTCATTAGTAAATGCTCAGGAAGGGGTTGAAAATGGCATCATTCATGCCAGCTTCCAGTGGATCATTACAAATCAACAAGAGACCCATTATTTGTGTCTTGATCTCTTGACCTCCAGGAGATTCCGCACTTAGCGGACAGATACTTACCAGGTGTCAAAAACAGAAATGCAAGCTCTGACACTGACTTCCTTGTCTCAACAACTGTATCCCTGTTTTCTGTACATGTTATAGCAAATTTCTTTTGGCAGTGCTAGTCCTAGTGAACACTGACGGAGAGATCTCTGTGTCGGGAATGAAGTTTTAGGCATCAGCTGGGTTACTAACACAACACTAGGGCTCCAGACCAGTATTGATTTCTTCTAATTTCTGCTACCAAACTCTAAATAGTAAATATATCATGGCCAACAGCCCAGGACTTTTTACTGTTTACTATGCATTACCTTTTGAATCTAACTGTAGTTTACAGTAACCAAGTGGCTTTAAGTAGGTTTTACTCTAGACGCAAAGATTTTACTAGATGTGATGTGCACATCCATTTTACAAGACACCCAAAGACTTGCAGAGTAACAGTTCAGCACTTGCTTTCAATTATCTCCTTTTCTGAGAAATCTTCCCAAATCTAGACCATGTTCATACTAAGTATATTCTTGTTCTACGTAGTATAGATGGATGAGTCTGGCTCTTGAATTTTAAATTGCCATAACCCTGGTAAGTTAAAAGCTGTGTGACAAAGCATGGCTGAGACCCACAGATTGTTTTTCTGGTCTGATTTTGTTAAGCTGAACCATAGATGTCAAGAACCAAGCAAGAGAGAAAATACAACAGGATGCCTAATCCATTGCTGACAAACTTAACTTTTTCCTGTTTAAAATTCTGTAAAATGGAAGTCTCAGAGCAGTTCTGCTCTAGAGTAACAAGTTAGCTTTGCATCTCAAGGCTGCTCTAAGCAATGGCTTTTGTCTTTGAACCACACTTAAACTGTAACTTCTATACCTTTCTTCCCAAGAAGTGACACATAGACTCTGACCCTTAATTAGCCTTTGCAAAACTGAAATTTAGTTGTTTGAGGAGAGAGAGGCTATGGACTGTAATTTGATAATCTAAAAGTCACTCGTCAATAGCCTCTCTGGTGTCTTGTGTATTTTGCCAACAGACTTCTGAAATTAAGCTCCTTAACACAATAAATTTGTCCAGTGTACTATGTGGGATGTTGGTGTCGTCTTTAATTCTCCTCTGGTTATTTTGAGCTCAATCAATGTGACATCAGGTAGAACCCAGTGCTGAAGAGTCATGAGTCAGATCCCAAAAACATAGATGCTTTTACCCAGACAGGAAAACTAAAAAAAAAAAAAAAAAGGAAGTACATTTTACATTTTCTTTCTCTTATTCAAAGCCTAGGACATCTTATCCTTGAAAAAACATTCACATCACATTTTCTACCTTTACTTTATAAACATGAAGATTAAAAAAGTGCCCTCTTTTACCAACGAAAATTGATGTTCTCCCACAATACCATTTCCCTTAGTCAAATGGTTCAAAAAATGCCAAATATCTCAGTGTTCTCAGTGCAGTCATATATTGGCAGAAAAACACTTATAAGATGGATAAATGCTGGGCTAAAAACAATGTGATTGGGTCTTGAGGATGGCATTGTAACTTCATAAGCTGAAGGTTTGAAATAGGACAGCTCTCCAGAGTACAGCTGAGAGCTGTGCAGGAAGGGCAGTAGTGTGTGTAAAGATGTGCATAGACATGGCTTCAGGTCCCCCGGGAACAGCCATTCCCTGGCATCAGAATGTAATGCGTTGGCTTTCAGCTTATGAATATTAAAATCCAGTGACAGCTGTGATGAGTCATATACATTTAACTTCATCCCTTCTTAGATTTGGGTGCAGGTTAATTGGAGCCTATCCCAGTTCAAGGAAGCAGAAATACACATTTCTGAGAAATAATTTTGTAAGACTGCAGAATTGCTGCAGTCCTTCACTCTCCAACCATGGTGAGGCAGCATGAATACAAATAAACACAAAGCTCCTAATGACACCGGCTATCAAAAGTGAAAAACTGCATTGATGGGGATGAAATGATTCAGTGTATTTCTACAAAATCTGCATCACGGTGATTCCTCAAGAGCCATCACCCAAAGGTGAAACATGCTCTGGCTAGAGTTGGAGCTGAACTGGATATAGCAGTCTGTCCCTTTTTTGATAGACATCCTAACAGTAGGAAAGAATGTGAGATTCAAGGCAAATAGTTTTTACTAACATAAGAGGATGAAGTCAAGCCTGATGCCCTTTGAGATTAATTTTAAGATTCAGGCCCCTATCATAGTGAAAAAAGTTTTCTTGAGTAGGAGGCTCTGATTAACTGACGTTAATCATTAGCCCTATACACCTTTCTGAAAGGAGATATGTGCTAATTAACATATTGAACTGTAAATCCTCTAGGGAAAACTGCCCTTCTTGATACACTTTATAATTATATAATACTACATCCATTATGCTAGGAGTATTATTTATCTGCAGGGACTTCACATGACTTCTCTGAGGCTGGTTGCTAAAGAAAGGTATTGCAATCCCTATTGTATAGGTGGGTACAAAGCTGAAGCTCAAAGAGTATAAACACATAGCCTAATATCACTAGTAGCAGAGAAATAATGTTGCTTCTAAATTCTTGTTATTAAATTACAGCTCTTAATTTTACTGCTACTGAATAGGTAACATGATCAGTTGTGAAAAACTTTAAAGGAAAAGAAAAATATAATTGAAATAATATGTACATATTATTCCAATGAGGGCATGGGATGTCCTTCCCGTTTGGTATATAGGAGATATACAAGAACATAAATCTTCCTGGCTTATTTAACCTTATCATAGAACCTTGACTAATAAACAGCTGGGTTTCCTTCTCCTTTACTTAGAAATACATTTTCTCAAATAAACCCTGTATGTCTATTGGTTGGGGTTTTTTTGCATATGGCGTACATCTGGGTTTTGTCTCTGACGAAAATGTCTTGTTATCAGATTGAATATTATAAACAAGAGAATGTATTCAGCTCCTTAAAAGTACTCACATACAAATCTATTTTGTTCAATCTACACTCAGAACTTCATCTAGTAGACAGAGGGTAAAATCTCTTCTATTCGTGTGGCAAGACTTCTGTAATAAATTATAACACAGAGATATAGGCCAGAACAATAGAATGTGTATCGGCTGCTCGGATTCCGGATAAGGTTTTGTTTAGGTTTTCAGAGACTCTCCGGTGACATCTACTGGAGGTAAAAAAATTTAGAAAGCAACATGACAAATAAGAAAACCTAACCATTTAATAAAATAACTGAATTATGTTTTCTTCATCCTATTTCAGTATTTGTAACTGAGTTCAAATATTATAAAATGTGCCCCAAAATTATAAGCTTCACTTCAAATTCATGAGACCTTTAAAACCATTTATTTTTAATGAAAACTCTGGGTTTCAAATATTCAAGTCTCCAGGAGGTGAAGCTTAAAGGAAAACAGACTTAATAAAATCAAGAGAGTTAGCAGTGTGCGCTCTCCAAGGCAGATAAAATGGGGAAATATTCCTGTATGAAAATGAACCCATAACCACAGGGACCTATTGAGGATATGCCTATTTCTTTTCATCTCTGATAACAGGAATGTTGCATACAGGTTTTTTATTGAATTTTCTCTTCACTGACTTACTTTCAAAAATAAATCATGTCACTTATATTCTCAATACATGTTTCAAATGCACAGCTAATATCCAAGGCCAGTTAAAGTCAATGACATTTTAAAAAATACAGACTTCCAAAAATATATGCAATTTTGTAAATGAGATTTTTGATTTTATCTGTAGCTGAATATTATATTTTTTTAAGTGTTTGTAGTAATTCTACATCGTAACATGCTGTAAGTAGTATCATATTGCAATTACTACACCTTTCAAAGTATTGCACAAAAGGTAACTTTAATTGTTTTGTATTTTTTGTTATATGCTCTTCTCACATAGATATAAAGTTTGTGTGTGTCTATATGTGTGTGTAGTCAAGAATTTCAAATTCAGGAATGCAAATCCAAACACCTTTTCTGAGTTTGGTGGAGAACCTTCTGAGATTCTTAAAGAAATGTGTCAAAACCACTCACACTCATTTTGGATTGCACACCACAGTGCAGAGCATGCAGTGAGACAGAAAAAGAACCAAACACTAAGTCAAGAAACAGAGGAATAATTCTGTGTATCCTTATTGAACATTTAATTATGGAAACACTTCATCAAAATTAATCACTGCATTTTAGGCAAACTACTTGCAGAGCTATGTAGGAGAACAACAGATGCCTTTTTGGTAACATTTCAAACCAGCAGTACAGAAAACCAAGCTGAGGAGGAAATTACCATTTATGTTTTAGTCTCCTGAGCACTATACACTCATGCTCATGGGCCTGGGATTTGCATTTTGAACTTTCTGTCAGAATAAAAATACAGAAAACTTCTGTTTGACACCACAAAAAAACAGTTAACAAATAACCTGTACTTTGTCTCCCAAAATTAAATTCACCCAATAAAACCTTAAGTTGTCATTTTCAACCTTTGTTTTCTTCCTAATGGAAGTTGGAACCCAAAGATTATCTTCATATTCACTTTTGTAATTAATCAATCCAATATATACATGTAATTTCCTGTGGTTTATTATAAATTCCAGAAAAAACGTGCAACTACGTTGTTTAATGTAACTACGTATGTACAACATGTTTTTTTATTGCCAGGACAAAGTTATTCTGGGGACAGATTACCCTTTTCCACTTGGCGAGCTGGAACCTGGAAAATTGATTGATTCAATGGAAGATTTTGACAATAAACAGAAGGTATGATCTTTACATTTGGGGTTTTCTTCCCCTCCTTTCAAGCCTCTGGTTTTAGACCTGAGATGAAACACTGACAAAATCAGTGTAGCACACTGATTTATGCAAAGAGGCCCTTTAGTCTTTTTGCAGCAGTTCATTTTAAAACACAAGTACATTTCAAAACACGAGTAAAAGCATTTGAGTAAAACAGGAATTAAGCACACACAAACATATGTATGTGTTATGTTTTAACAGGATAAACTCAAGGCTGGAAATGCTCTGGAATTTCTGGGTCTTAGCAGAAAACAATTTGAATGATTATAAAGATATTAAAGAGACCAAACTTCGGAAATAATGCTGAATCCTCTCATTTGCATGTGCAACTATACAGGTGAAAAACAAATTTGACAAGTACATTACAGCCTAAACCAAATCCAGAACAAAAACAAGTGTCCTGGAAATGAGTATCCTCTGTGTGTTTGAGGATTTAGGTCATGTTTTAAACAATTCTGAAATTCTAGGTTTCATGGAAAAAGAAAGATTTCCTCTTTTGCAGTTGTAATAAAAATCTCTGAAAGATAATCAGTGTTGTGGTATTAGGACTTGATTCCCAGGAGAAAGAACAGAGAAAATTATGACTTGCATCCATTACATTTCAGTTTTGTTATGCCCAATAAACAGAATTTAAAAGAATCTCAAACCAGAGGTTTTGTTGGAGCCCAGTAAAATAAGACATTTGCCTTTACTCACAGAATGAGGTGGCAGTATACACACTGCAGCTCAGCACTCCAAGCACACGCACCAACACTTCAGAAATGTTGTGATAGGATGAAAAAGGTCTGTGTGTGGACTTGTACTTTGCAGCTGCCACCTACACCACTGGCAACTTCACTCATCTGACGCAATTTGATCAATGCAGTTGTAGGTGTACTAATAATGTATTTGTGTGGGTAATACGTTGTGCATCGCTTTCAAAATAAATACTAGTATTTAGCAACAGTATGGTTTAATGTTCCAGTCCTTAAAAAAAATTGCTTCTTAAAAGTAAGCTTGGCTACTTTAAATGTTGAAATGTTAATGCGCTACGTAGTTGTAGTCCTGCTAGAGGAACGGAAAGATGGTTTACTTTCTAGACTATTGACTGAAATGGGTTTTCATGCCTATCCACTGGGTGCACAGGTGTCCTCCTGAGAGGATTTTATATCAGTCATCAAAATACTGATGAGCACTTCCAGTCTCCATTCTCATGGGATCCTTTGCTGGCTATGCGTGCTGTCACCATTCCCGTTTTGTCTTAAAATGCTCCAGGAAGAATAGAATTAGACAGCATTTGGTTTTGTAGCTGTGTCCATAACAATCCTTATGCCACAGGCTGCAACCAAAAGGGGCTGAACATCAGCAGTTCGTGCTGATACCAGTCTCTGCTGGACTACAAAGAAAGCTTTGTCCTTCTTTAATGTCACACAAAAAAACAAAAAAACAACAAAACAACCCAACAAAAAACACACACCAAAAAAATAAAAACCCACCAAAACCCAAACTAAAACGTAAAAACAAAATAAAACAAGAAGTGGTTTGTGCAGGTCAATTATGTTTTCCTAGTGTGCTGGTTTTGGCTGGAGTGGAGTTAATTTTCTTCACAGTAGCTACTAGTACAGAACTATGTTTTGGATTTGTGTTGCAAAAGGTGTTGATGACACAGGGTTGTTTTTGTTACTGCTGAGCAGTCCTTGCAGAGAGTAAAGATCTTTTCTGCTCCCCACCACACCTCACCAGTGAGCAGAGTTGGGATGCACAAGGAGCTGGGAGGGGACACAGCCAGGACAGCTGACCTCAACTGGCCAAAGGGATATTCCATACCATATAGCATCATGCTTAGTATGAAAAGCTGGGGGAAGCAGGAGGAAGGTGAAGGACATCTGGACTGATGGCGTTTTGTCTTCCCATGTAACAGTTACACATGATGGAGCCCTACTTTCCTGGAGATAGCTGAACACCTTCCTGCCCATGGGAAGTGGTGAATGAATTCCTTGCTTTCCTTTGCCTGTGTATGCACAGCTTTTGCTTTACCTATTAAACTGTCTTTGTCTCAACCCACGAGTTTTCTCACTTTTACTCTTCCCATTCTCTCCCCCATCCCACTGGAGGAGAATGAGTGAGCAGATGTGTGGGGCTTAGCTGCCAACTGGTGTTAAACCACAACACCCAATTACTGCATCTGGAGCTTTACTATATTGCTTCTCCAAATACAGTCCATAAAAGACTACTGGATCAGAAGTTGAAGTAGTTAGCAGCACACAGGTTTGGGCTCTGGCAATACCACAGTTTTCATGTAAGAAGAGACTAGGACCTAGATAAAATAGCTTTAACAATAGCTACTGTCCTCAGGTTCACAAGATTTCTTTTAACCTTTTTTTATTTAAATATCTACATGCAAGCACTGAGCTACTGAAATGTACATTAAATTTCAGAGCTGAAGAAAGGCAACTTCATTCTCATATTCTCTTTCTTTGGCATATTAGATTTTCACACTTGAACAGATATGAGGAAAATACACAGTGATCCCTCCAATGCATTTGAACTGGATTAATTATTCCACAGTTAAGTCAGTGAGAAGGCACTATTACATCTTTTGAGTACCAAGGTCTGGAACCTTTCCAATAGCAAAACCAGTATTTAATTACCTTAGCCTGTGACTGACTGGGTGATTACAGAGCTCTGCATGGCAATTAATTAATATGCATACCCTGCATAACTAATATTAATTTTGCACTGTCAATAGTTAATGAGATTCTACTTACTCTCAAAGTATTTTTAAGACAGGGATATATATAATCTTCCCTTCATCTTCCTTGTTCTTTTCATTAACAAAGGTAACATAAAATTCTAGTTATACACAAGAACATTCTCAATACTCTTCTACCAATTTCTGAAGGAATAAAAAAAAATTCAGTTGAATCCCCGAAGTCCCTCAGTTTTATACAATGATTTAAACAATGAGATAAACCAATGCATTATAAGATTATTAAAGGCACAGAAATAGGAAGAGAAAGATCAGATCCCACTTCCAGCAGAAGTCTTCGTAGTTAAATTTCCTCTGCACATGCAAAATCTTATTTACCTTTGAGGAGGTTAAGGACAAACAATTCATGTCTGTCTATGCTTCATTATGCAGCTGTGTATTTTATTAACATTCTGTTGGGCCTAGGTATAGGATTATAACTCCCTGTATGTAATATGCACCAAACTTGTAAAAGAACTAGTTGACCTAGGTGAAAAAGACCACTGCAGAGTGCTAGTGGCGAATGCTAAGTACAAAAGGGAGGTCTGCAGCTCCCATTTTCATCCACCATAATTAAAACTTTAAAGATAGATTAAATAAAGGCCTCAGCCTGCCAGACTTCACAACGGAACGCTAGCAGTCGAAGTGAACACAATCAAAGCAGTAGCGCGGAGCTCGGCCGGCGGCTCTCCTCCCACACCTGCGCCCCACCGCTGTAAGAAACCCCCCACGAAGGCCGGGACACATAAACCGCAACCCGCGGCTGCTGCCTCTTCCATAGTGATAGCGGGCTTCAACTTCCGAGGAAGACACCAGCCACTCCGCGACCCCATCCCAAACAGACACCGCAGCAGGCCGCCAGGGGCGCGGTGCCACAGGAGAGGTCTAGCACGGTCAGACCTGCCGGACGGGCGAAGGGCTGCGCACCAGCACCTCCCCGCGCCGCCGCCCGAGCGGTGCCTTTGCTGCAGCCCCTCTCACGGCCGCCAAACCCTGTAGCTAAGGAGCTCCCCCTCCCGCATCCCGGCTGCAGACGCCTCCGGCACCCCGCCGCAACGCAACCGCTCAGCACCAGCTGCCAGCCAGTGAAGAAGCGCCGCGGCCCATAACTTCCGGTCCCCGGAGCCCTCCCTGGCGCAACGGTTGGTTACTCCCCGAGTCACGTGCCCGTGGGGCGATGGCCGCCAGCCACCGCCCTGCAAGGCCACGTGACCCTCCCCCCGAGCGTCCGCTCTTGCTGCGCCGCCGCGAGACTCTATGGTTCAGTGCACATAGGAGTGAGGGAGACCGCGCGCTGTTGCGCTAACTCTCGCGAGAGTGGCGATGAAGGGCGGGGGGGAGGGGTCGGGAGCGGCGCCCCTGCTGGCGGGCGGGGCCGCGGAGGGAGGGGGAGGAAGTGTCATGGCGGCTACGGGTTCGGGCGTGGGTTCTTCGGCGCGGGGTGGCGGTGGTTCCTCGGCGGCGTCCCGCTGGTTCTTCAGTCGTGAGCAGCTGGAGAACACGCCGTCGCGGCGCTGCGGTGTGGAGGCCGACAAGGAGCTCTCGTACCGGCAGCAGGCGGCCAACCTCATTCAAGACATGGGCCAGCGCCTCAACGTGTATCCGAGCAGGGCCTGTGGGGCGGCGGGGCTGGGCGGGAGCTGGCCGCGCGCTGCACTGAGGGAAGCGAGGAGCCTGGGCGGGCTGCGGGGGGTCTTTTACCGGCCGAGTGGGCACTCTACCTCCCCGGGACCCTCCCCACTCCTTCGGCAGCCCCTGAAGGGCGCTCTCGTGGGATGGAGCCGCGGCCGTGAGGCACAGAATGGGAGGAGGAGCCTCGCCAAACCCCCGCTTCGCCGCCTTTGTCGGCGTGTGAGGGAGGCCGGGGTCGCGGCTGGCCGCGCAGGCGGCGGGTCTGCACCGAACCTTCTGGCTGCGTTCGTGTCGGTTGCTGCCGGTGTAGGCACTCCTGAAGTACATCCCGGTTGACTGCGGCCTCGTTTTCCTTCAAATGGGCATCTCCTCGTTAGCCATTATCAAATTTGATTTATGAGAAAAAAAAGATCAGCGTAAGGCTAAAACCTCTAATAACTACTGAAATAGTTGAATTGGACCAAAGCAAAAGCACTCCAGACAGTATTTCAGTTTATGTCGCCCAGTGAGGAGTTTCTATTCAGTAGTATTATTTTCATTCAGTGAGTTAATAGTTAAATTCTGAAATGTCACGTCCTTAATTCATTTCCAGCTGAAGTCTGTATGTTAAAAGTAGTGATTGATGCAGAAAGTATGTCACTTTCAGTCCATGTAAACAATTTTCTTAATATGAATATGTAGTGTTTCCTTAATTTAACCTTCCAGATCCCAGCTTACGATAAATACTGCAATTGTTTACATGCACAGGTTTTATATGCATCATTCCTTTACAAAATTTAATCGAAATGTAAGTATGATTTTACATGTGGTAATAATACATAATTTTGGCAGTCTAACTGGCAAATGTTATGTTGCTTTGCTGGATTGTAAAGTTTGGTCTGTTTATAGAAATTCTTGCTTCATGTTGGTAGTTTAGAAGGAATAATGATACTTCTTTTCAAATGTGAGTTATTTTAACTGGTGGCAATTAGATTGTACTTTCCACCACCAAGATGAAAAAGTAGGCACCAGCAGCAAACAGATTTGGATGTGTGAAGAATTCATTGAGATGCTTTGAAACTGGCTAGTGCTCATGTGCTGTAGTTTGCAAGGCTGATGTCTAGGAACACACGTTTTTGTTAATGAAGTCAGTGGTAGTGCAAGCATGGTGTGTCAAACAGTTATACTACATTTAAGTACAGATCCATATGGATTATGTGTCTGGTCTTGAAAAATGGTGTAAATTCATTTAACCAGTCTATACTTAAGCAGTATGATGATAAGTCATGTTAGACAAGAAAGATCTTTAAATCTGCTGAGACAATGACAGCTGTCCTGTTTTTAACTAATTAACTAGATATGCTGAATCTGAGCACTGAATGTGTTAGGAGGAGCTGAATCCTTCAGTAAAAAACGCTGCCTGTAATTGGGGGGCTTTGTGACAGGTGTGGAACTTGAGATACAAACTTGAAAATTTCAGGGGTTTGTTGTTGTTATTTTTTTTATGGCCAGTATTGGATGCAGTAGTTAGAAAACTGATAATATTCTAGGGATTCCTGTGGTTTTGATGTGGGTTTTGGTTTGGTTTTTTTTAGTACTTTCAGTC